AGATTTCGAACTGCTTCTTCTGCTGCTTTTCTCCGCTAATCAGATACGTAGCACTTTTTTGTGCCTATCTGAGTTCCGTTTCCCGCAATTTGCGGTCGCAAACTGTGCCTTTAAGCGACCCTGGATAGCTTGTTTGACGTGGGCTAGAGTTTGGACAGGGACCTCGTCCCTATGATGTCACCCTGTAGCGAGAGCTGAGTATGACTTCTTGCAGTTACACCAGCTCCATTACAATTTTTGTAATATCCATTAATATGTTAAGAGCTCCTCTTTTAATTATTAGACGCTACAGCTAGAGGAGCAACATCGTTCTTGTATCGTAACCTTAGGCAGCAGGGCCGTCGTACCTTTGCAATATTTGATCACTGGATTTAGCCTGGGGTCACATTTGGTATTGTTCTTCTGACTGTTGATTCTACTCGTTGTAAACGTACTTTAACTCCGCTGCCAGTCGATCGGCGATATCTGGTTCCCCCCCTTTCAACCCGCTCTGGTGATTTTTGGGATATTAGGTAAGATGATTGGCCGATTAGTTGTGGACTGGAACAAAGTTCCGTTGACAAAGTACCTAGCAGAAACCCTCTCTAACACACGAGGTGCCCTGATAGTGGGACCGACACTCATCTAGGTGTGTGGAAATTGCCATCCTTAAAGGTTTATCCAAAGCTTTTTTTTAAAATCGGGCGTGTGCTTTGAGGTGCAACACGAGTGTTCGAGCATCAGACGTGATTCTCCTCACTATTTGCTAGGCCGCGTAAGCCATTCTATCTTCCGACCTTAAATTGAAGCCAAGTGCAGCGTGAACCGGAAGGTCTCCTCAGAAGTGACTGCTCGATCCGTTTTCTGCTGCTCAGTTTTGAAGATGCAGTCAACGTTGGTCGTAGAGGCGGAGTCAGGCCTACCATACCACCTTCTACACTGGCGCGCTCCTGCTCTTTAACCACGAACAAGTTTTTTAGAAATGCTTTCGAACAACACTTGTAATCTTTCCGCGAAGGCTTACTTTACACTTCCTGCTTCCATTTTGAAAATGTTCTTCTTTGCAGTGAACTGTAGAAGATACAAGAAAATGGTGAAAATTTTACAAGATGTTGAAATTGTGCTCAATCCAGACAACAAATACTGGATGGAACTTGTCAGTTGGGTGGGTCTATTGATAGTGAAATTTGAATGTGAAGAGCGTATGCTCTTGATATTTATTATAAATGCATGGTCCCTAATCACACAGCCGGGGTCACGCCTACCGTCTTATTGGGACATCACTTCTTTTAACGGTCTTAAAAAGCCCAAGAGAGAGACGAAGAAACACCATACGCACGAGTGTGAGACCAGATCCGACGGATAATTGAAAGGAACGACGGGCAGGACAATAGACAACATTGTACACACTAATTGCATTTATCTCTTGGTGGGGCGCTGCAAGTGAGTGGTCTTGTTATCGAGCGCCTTTGTCACCAACTTCAAGTATCCAAAGTGGTGCAACTTCTTTAATTGCGGACCAGACCGCTCTGTACATCGTAGAGATTCTCCCAATCAAAGAATTCCGTACTCGCTCTATGAAGTGGTAAACGACAAGGAGCCGTCTGTCATTCAGAGCCTTGTTTCACTTCCGAGCGAGATCAAAGGTGGACATACTGGCAGCGTTTAGAGTCCGCGATGACGCACGTCGCCGCGTTTTGTTTTAATGACGACAGCGCTCCAACGCTGTGAACGCGAACACGGTCGCAGACGGGAATTGACCGGCGCCGGTAGCTGGCGTTTTGAGAGAGTATGGGGAATGGGAGGGTATGCGTTACTTAATGACGCAGTCCGGTATCGATCCGCACTGGCCGCAAGAGCTTTGAGAGAGAATAGAAGAATGGGAGTGTACCAAATAGGTGAAGGCAGCGCTTGCCCTCCTGTTACCCTATATTCTCTCGAAACGCAAGAGACCAGTGCCGGTCGCATTCCGTCTGCGACTGCGTACGCGTTTATATCACTGGGACGCTCGTTCAGGGGTAACGCGTCGACGCGCGGGAAAGCGCGTTGACGCGGACTCTGAACACTGCGTAAGTGCAAATATGCAGATAGCGCTCCCTGACGCTGTACACCTTCATATTAGGATGCTAGCGCTTCCTTTACAGAGCTATCCACCTTCGTATATGGATGTTTGAAGTGAAAAATAGAACCAAATTTGCAAACCGAAGGTCTTTAAAATGGGAACCAGGCCTCACTATGCGTGTGATTTCAGTGTTCCAAAACGGAAAACTGGATGTTCACAGCGAGCGATTACGAGACTTGGAAGAATTCATTCGAGAAGTTCTGGTTTTACGTTGCAATTGACAAAGGTAAAGGATTCTCACGTTTCTATGATGCTTGAGTTTGTCATGTGAGAGAAGCCAGTAACATTTATTTGTTCGCACTGACTAAGCAAACAAGAACTCCGCCCTTTCCAGAGTCCAAAGAAGCTGTCGGATGTATTACTCTTGGTTTTGATCGCTCCTCAGATGGAAATAAAGAGGATGACATCTACTATGTAAGTTTATTTCGAGAGCGACAAGTCATTAGATCAGAACTGCGCAGGCTGTGCTGAAAGTAGCGTTGTATACACGGCATGCCTACCAGGACCTAAATGATTCGACGCGAAGTGCATCAGTAAGCCAAGTGAACTAGTGAGGAAGCCCGTGCTCCCCGAAGAACAGACGTTTTCGCTGTTGCAGCTGACGCGTGAGAGGGAGTGAGTTAGGCGTGGCGCCTACCCGTTCTCCACCAATTGTTGAAGACGGCAAGCGACAGCAATTGGTGGAAATCAGGCTGGCGCAGCGCCAAGCATACCCTCCTGACACGCCCAGCTTTCGCACGAGCACAGGGCTGTAGTTTTTGTATGCAGCCTGAATATTGATGACCCGCACCTTATTTGGACCAGTGTTGTGAGAAGGCACATTTGATATCCACCGATATCTGGGGCGGGCTGCCGAAAAGCGCCTTGTTTGCTCGATTTGGACGCGCTCATCTCATCTCAGGTACAGGTTCAGTCAGAACCGCTGACAGTATGGTCAGCAAACTGATTTACCTCGACACCAAGATTGTAAATTATTGTATTTACATATTTCGACTGACATTTGGGCGCCATCGCCTTCTACAGAGGCTGGAAAGCCGAAAGGCATTCTCGAAACTACTCATCCACACACTATTTCAACCTACAGAGAAAGTTCAGAAAGGGGTGGTAAACTAGATAATGACGTCATGGAAACGATAAGAACCAACCTTTAGGAAAGTCGACCAATGAGGTCCACCTATCACCCCGTTCTACTAGTAAAGTGGTTTAAATAGGTAGGCCTCCAGGTCACTTTCCTGAGGGACCTCCTGAGGGAGCTTGATCTACATGATTAACTCTGATGTCCCAGAATTCTTCCAAAATGTTTCATTTTAGGTAGGTATGTACTATTTACGTCCGGAATGGCGAAGCACTGGTTTAGGAACGATTCTATTCGAAAAGGTCATGGAAATAGGCAAACACGCAAATATGGCTTTACATGGAGGTTGGATCCATTTTATTTGCTCATTTTTTTACAATGGCAGGTGTTGGCGCAGCCGGGCCCTGTCGTTGTCCTCCTTAGTGCTTCTCTCCTTGTAATGCGGCAAGCAGGAGAAGGGACCAATGAGGAGCGAATGTAGGCCCGTCTCCACCCACCCAGCTAGCGTAGACAATGTCATTGAGCTCAGAGAATCATATACAAGCAACGATACGTACATATTTGCTATATAATTTTTGAATGGTCAACCAAAAATCAAATTAATTGCTAAATCACAATTTTACCAAATATTCATGATTCTGTGTTGTCCAAAAAACAGCGATTTTTAATTATTCTCTTCCCTCTACGAAATTCGGAAGGACTTGCTACTGCTTTACGACATTTTTTTTTGTATTTCTATCAAAGTGAATGGGAATGTGCTCCAGTCATGAGAATGTCACCAAAATATGCGTCAAAGTACGGATTCGATAAAATGCCCAACTACACACACGATTTTGCCTCAATTCCTGTCGAACACCTGGTGCTTCCGCAAACTGACTCAAAATATGTTCTGAAGGTGGGTGATTTTTCTACCGACTCCAAGAACCCACTCCACGTTGATTGTATGGGCGGAGCCGGACCTACGATTAAGCCTTCCTTATTGGTGTGCCCCTCCGAATATGCTGAGGATGAGGAGAACACTGACGAGGAATACCCAATGGAGGTCTGTCTCCGCCCACACAATCAGCGTGAACTATGCATTTGGGCTGAGCTGTCGATATTCCAGGAACTAAATGAAGTCAAAGAGTCCAAGGTGGTGGCCTACGATGTCAGCATTGCTCATCGAAGTCGAGCCAAGTACCTAATGAATTTTATATCTAATGATGATTGTTTCACAAAGGTAAATCTTTCATCTGTTATGCATTATGTTACCGTACCATTCTCCTGGTATGCAGCCCTAGGCAGGCGTTTGATATAGTCTTGCGGAGCGTGTCAGGGGGGGGGGGGGGCTGGGTTCAGCGTGGCGCCGACGCATTCTCCACCAATTGCTGAAGTGGGATTGCGAAGAGAATTGATGGGAATTGGGCTGGCGCCTGCCGACTCGGCCTCCT